ATCTTCAACCGCAAGGATCTCTACACCCAGCACGTTCGACGCATGCATGTTCCGCCAAACGTCCGCAAGTCCCAGAAGCAGAAGAAGCCCTGCCCCGAATGGGACGAGCACCTCAAGGGTCTCCAGGCCGAAGCCGAGCAGACTCGCTGCGACCTGCCACGACACATGCGCTGCCCTGCCGTCGGCTGCAACCACGAATTTAACGGCCCCCAGGCTTGGGACGAGCGCATGGAGCACGTCGCCCGCCACCTCGAGCGCGCTGCCGACGGCAAGGAGCCTGTCGTCCGCTTTGGCGGCGAGGACGACTTCACTCTTACCAACTGGGCTTCGAGCCCACAAGTCTACGTTGTCCGCAGGACAAACACCGCCGAGGGGTGGGAGCTCATAAACCCGCTCAAGGGCGAGGTTGGTCCCTCCTCAGGCAACGGGAAGCCTGGCAGTGGCACTGGCTACGTTGCCCCGTCGTCGTCTTCCTCCCCCCTCAAGGAGATTGTCGTTGCTGGCTGCTCCGATGAAGACGCGGAGGGCGAGGATGAGTAGTAAACCCCCTTCGCCTGAAGCTTTCTACGTTCCTTTTTGCTAGTTTTACTACCCAATCTTGCTTTCTACTAGAGATGTCTGTCGTGGCATTTCAAGGCGTTTTGATTCGCAAGCGTCTTCCACTTTTTTTGTTGATACCTCTTTTCTATCACCATTTCTATCTAGCTATCTACGAGTACATTTACTCACATGGGCGGTGTTTTTGATTTTTTCTTGTCCTTCAAACATGCTACTTGGGTCTGGTTCTGTGACGGGAAAACGCACAAAAAGATGAATCATTAATAAGGCGATAGACCAGGCACACATGGGATGGGATGGGGAGGGGCACCGGACTTCATGATTGTTATGACTTTCAGACATTGATAGTATATTGATACCAATTCGGTCTGTGCCCTTCAATGACACTCAGTTTTCTCCTCCATGCTACGTGATACATTGCAGACTTGCATCTTTGCCGTCTCCAGACTCGTTCAATGAGCACGCGGCTCCCCCTCCTACGTGAGCCCCTGAGTACCATGCAACCACCACGACCTTTTGACGCTCCCAGCCTTGCATCAAGTTGAACCATGAGTAAATATTTAAGTTTTTACCGCGCTTAAGGTCGCCTTACGTTGACCTCCATTGTGTTTGAGGCTGGCGGAAACGACGCACCTACCCACACTTCGCGGCAAGCAGCTGTGAGATGGCTTCGCGCGAAACTGGACTTACCAACACGACCAGTCCACTTACACGAACAAGCACCGCCAAACCCGTCGCAACCTCCAGCGATGGCCAGCGGCAGTCCGGGGGCAGCCCGCAAACCCTGAGTAATGCGGCTCAATCGTCCATTCGCTCTCCCTTCTGGGCGCTAAACCAAACAGACCAGACCAGACCAGACCAGTGCTCCTGCTGCCGCTGCCGCCGTCCACTGCCCTGGGGCGTCGTTCCGCCCGGGTGGTGTGCGTATCTGATGCTGACAGGTGGCCAGCCAGGTGTCGTCGTTCCGCGCCTCAGGGCTGCATTTCGCTTCGGCAGCAGAAAACGGTGTTTCTCTCGGGTCTCTCGCATGTCTCTCGTAGCGCAGCTGCGCGCCGAGTCCTCTTACCGTCTCCCGTCAGCATCTTCATTTCGCGATTTCAAGGTTCTGACGCCCCATGGGTACAGTACACATCCAATTCCGCCCCATTCCGCCGCCCCCTGTGCGGATGTTCTGGCCCCCAAACCCGGCGGCCCCCATCTTCATCTTCTGCTCCTCTGGCCAACCGAGACGTACAACATGGGCAAAAAGAACTGACAGGGGCGCACCCGCGCGCGGGAGAAGGAGAGCGAGAGAGAGAGAGAGGCATGTCAGCACTAGTACACGTTGGATACCGGTGCGGCCCTGCAGCTGGGCGGCGGCGGCGGCCCTTTGGGAGGGGGTTGATATAATAAGAGGTGATTGATGGACGGCTTCTTTGCCCGCCATTGGGGAGGGAAGACGGCGGTGGAGACACAGCCACGCGGGTCGCATGGCAGCCAGCCCAGGAGGCCGCGTTCTGAAGGCTAACTAGCTCTGGTTGCGGTTTAGGGGTTTTCGGGTTGGGAAGATTCAACGTTACTCCTATGCCCGGCAGAAGGCCCTCTTCGCGTGGGCTTTTGGCTGGCCGAGCCGTTGCTCGTAGGAAGGAATGAAGGAACGGGGGAGAGAGGCGCGATGTGACAAAGGGTACGGTATCCGGAGGATTCTACGAAGTAGTATCTAGGGGCGCAGTCAGAATCTTGGCCTGCGAGAGAGCATCATATCATATGCTTGTTCGAGACGTGACAGCCTTCGCTGGCAGTGCAGTGCCAATAACCAACATATGCATGCGGAATGACAAATATGCAGCGTGCATATATCTTCTTCCACTTGCAGTTCGTATCTTGTTCACTCTCGTCCTGGGCGAGGATAGGCAGGGCCCCTGGCACAGTAAACCACCATCTCGGGACCGAAGACGAGCTTGAAGGCATCGCGATGTCTGTTGGAACGGGAACGGGGGGCGGGCAACAAGGTCACGAGGCGGAGATGGAGGGCGGAAACATGGCTCAATGGGGCCGAAGCTGACGATCTCCCTGCCCGCGAGTGCAGCGTCCTGATATTGCGGTGTTGGTTGCACCAACACGCCATTCGCCGTTGGAACATGAAAGAGCGGGGAGTGGGCACAACTGGCTCTCTCTGGTTCATGTCCATTCCTTCTTGGGTAGAGGGTGCTGTTTTTGGACGGACTCTCGGGAGAGATGGTGTACTGCCTTCCGCCTGTTGCTCACTAAGCCACCGCCGACTTTTTGGCGAAGCGGGATATCGCAATAGAGCTTCGCGGGTCATGTAAACCATCGGGAAAAGTACCCATGTCGATAAGCTGAAGCAGTCGTGATCTCTGTTCGGACCAACGGAGTTGGTGGGGGAGGCAGTGCTGGAGGCAGCAGCAATGGGAGTGCCATAAATACCAACAGTTGCAGAACCCTGTGCTGTCTCGGACATGATGCTGGAAACATGCGTGGATGCCGACGGGGTGGATGGGCAAGCTTGGTCTAGAAGCGCAGTAGCTGAGGTTGGGAGGATACGGCAGATGCTGTGCAAGAATTCCATGACGTAGAAGCTGGCAAGAAGCTGAATATCTTTGGAAGGAAAACCGGACACACTGGTCTTCAGCCGGCCAAGAAAAAGCAAGTCTGCAGATCATCCCGGCCAACGATGAGACGATGAGCCCACGACCTTCATCCGAGACAAATCCCCCAACCGCTTCAGCCGTCGGTCGCGGTTGACGGGCTGTGGGCTGGGAACTTGCACCGGGCCGGTTCAGCTTGTTGGAGCTGCGATTTAGACGACACCAAGCAAGCACCGTCCACCGGCATAGCTTCCTCCTCTGGTTTGTGATGAACCTGCCGTCGGGAGATTCTCGTCGAGACCGCTTTGAACATACGCCCAATTACCGTTGACAGCGCCCTTGGGAATATCGTAGTTCTCATTCTGTAAAAACACTTTTCATGCCACAACCACCCTCACTGCCCATGATTCTCGATTAGGTGGCGATGCTAGGACATAGTTGATATGGAGTATTTCTTCGCGGCGGCCTCCGACGGCTATCGTGTGTCCGCATCGGATGCGGCGACAAGGCCCTTGACGAGACCCTCCGGCCCCGAGATGAACATTGGGAACCCACAACAATTGCCGCCTCCGGATCCGAGCAATCCATATCCAGCCCGGGCTTGGCACCATCGCGGAAGGGATTGTGGACGGCGGGATCAGGCTCCGCCGAGGAGGAAGGCGAAAAAGAGGTGGCGGGCTAAGTAAGCGCGGCGGGTGGGCGGTGCTGGAAGGCATCGGCGCCAGCGTCGGCGTCAGCATCCATAGTGGCTCGCTCCCATCCCATGGAAGCGGGCAGGATTCAGCAAGGATGGCTTTCGTGTCGGTGCTATTTCCCCACTTGCGAGCGGCAAGTCGTCAACGGTGTTTCGTCGAAGCTGTCTGTATGACCAGGATGTGATTGGATTCATCCGTCTCCAATATACAGGCGATTGAGGGGCCTTGGTGGGATCATGGCCGGACGACAGCGGTCTGCTGAGTCGCGCTGAGGGCTGATGCTGGTGCGTTGCGTTTTCTGCGAACCCAATATCAGCACTGAATATTTGTCGAGCTGGCGCCTCGGATGGTGTGTCTGGTGTTCGTCCGACATGCTGATAGATATTCGCTAGTTAGCTAGCCGAATGATTCCATGCTAGCCTTAGCCTGAGCATGGCGTTCGTCGTATTGCTTCTCGACCAAGGTGCCCCCCCGGACGATGAAGCCATGGATCCGTTGGCGCTGAGAACAAACTGCCCAAGGCACCGGTTTCTTAGGGGTCCTGATGGTTCAAACGGGTTCGAACTGGGCAGCAGCGGAGAGGGATTACCCCACCAACGGCACTGCCGACCGCAACACGGTGATGCGACGACAGACGAGGGCGATAGGTGCCTGGGTGCCACAGAGGCCCTTGCGCTGATAGGATGACAGGGAAGCTCTAGCAGCCTGCGCCCCCGCTCCCTCTGCAAGCTCAGCCATCAGTGCTGCGAAAGCAGGTAAGGTAGGTAGGTAGGTACACAAAGGCGCACTTGCTGAAGCCAGCCGCACAGTGATACGAGGAACGAGGGGGGAGGAGAAGGGCAACAGGGCAATTTACAGAAAGAAACTTTGTTTACCTCTCCTTCATAAAGTCTCCAGGGTCCGGCCGTTTCCTGCTTGCTTCCGCATCCGGAGCTTGCTTTCACTGCCCACAAACAACCCTCCCAAAAGCTGAGGTGAGAAGCGCTTCGCTACGTCATATCACCAAGGCCCGCCGCCTGCGCCGGTCCATCAGCAGCAACAGTCAGCACATAATCCCGACTTCATATTCACGCAATTCGCCCACGCAATCGAACATCATCTCTCCACCTTCCCCCATTGATACCCCGTCCTTCTCGGAGCTCTCATTACCACCACAATCATGGAGTCTTTTGGTGCTCTCAAGCGTCGGACGACGGAGATTCTCCAGAACATCCCCCAGAATCTCCCCAACATGCCCAATGTCAAGGTGAAGAGGCCATCTCTCTCTCAGGGCTCTGGACCCAAGCCCATGAAGGGCACCTGGGAGAAGATTGACGTTCCTCCTCTGCCTCGCTCGTCTCACACCGTCAACGTCGTCAACGGCACAGCCTACATCTTCGGCGGCGAGGTCAGCCCCCGTGAACCCGTAGACAACGATGTCCTTGTCCTTCGCCTGCCCTACAACAGCGCTGGTGCCGACTACTACAAGGTCAAGTCCGCACCTCCGAAGCAGTACACCCCGCCCGCCGATGCTGCCCCCGCTGCTGCTCCCGCCCCCGCCGAGAAGAAGAAGGTCGTCGCGCCGACAATCGAGGAAAAGGCCGACCAAAAGGAGCAGCTTCTTGACGAGGTGTCGTTGGCCTCTCCAGGAGCTGGTCCTGCCGCCGAAGAGAGTTCGTCCGAAGAGGAGAGCTCTGAAGAGGAGGACTCTGATGAGGAGAGCGAAGAGGAGACCACCAAGGACAAGGGCAAGGGTCTAGAAAAACCCGCTCTGGGCGACGTCCCTTGCCCTCGAGTTGGTCACGCCAGCGCCGTCATTGGCAGCCGCATCTTCGTTTTCGGCGGTCGCGGAGGACCAGAGTTGGCTCCCCTCGAGGAGGCCGGCCGTGTCTGGGTCTTCGACACTCGTACCAACACCTGGACTTTCCTTGACCCCGTCCCCCCGGCTCCCGGCGTGACCAACCTACCCATGCCTTCACCACGAAGCTACCACGCTGCCGCTGCCACCGACCGCCCCCGTGATTTCGCCCCTAAGCGCCCGCGCCGTGCCCAGACCTGGAAGACCTGGGCTCTTGGGGACAGTTCCGAAACTGGCATCCCTCAGGCCCCCATTGTCGGCCATCTCGCCGCTAATGCCGTCGACGAGGAGGATGAGGGATACGGCACCTTCTTCGTTCACGGTGGTTGCTTGGCAGGCGGCGAGCGCACCAACGACCTCTGGGCATTCGATGTCCGAAGCCGTGTGTGGAGCCAGCTCCCCTCAGCGCCCGGCCCGGCGCGTGGAGGCGCTGCCATCTGCGTGAGCAAGAGCCGTCTGTTCCGATTTGGCGGGTTCGACGGCAAGAATGAGCTTGGTGGTCAATTAGACTTCATTCACCTCGAGATGGATACTTTTGATGACGGCGTTTCCAAGGGCGAGATCGCCGTCCACGGTCGCGGCGGATGGCAAAGCATTGTCCAGGGTGCCAACTCTGGCGAGCAGGAGATCAACCTTATTCCCGGCCAGACATGGCCCGGTCCCCGCAGCGTGGCTGGTCTCGAAGCTGTAACTATTGGCGCCGGCCGTGAGTACCTGTTGCTCATCATGGGCGAGCGGGAGCCAAGCTCGGACGGCCATGCCGGCGCCGGCGCCATGTGGGACGATGTGTGGGCATTCCAGGTCCCGCCTCTCGGCATGACTGCCGCCAGCGTCCGGGATGCCATGTGGTCCAGCATGGGCTGGCAGACGGGCGAGGGCAGATGGACGCAGCTTACCATGGAGCCCTACGACGATGATAATGACGATGGTGAGCCGGCATCGCGTGGCTGGTTCGCGGCAGCGCCAATGGCCGACGTCGAGGAGAGCGGCGTGGTCATCTGGGGAGGACTGAGCTCAGAGAACAAGAGATTGCGTGACGGATGGATCCTGAGGATCCCCGAGTGAGGATGAGACACATTGTCGGAAGACAGACCACCTATACTTCAGTTGCATATTCCCCAGCTTTGCAGAACAGAACAGAGCAGTTTTCGAACGAGTCCATAGCAATTTGACCAAGATTATTTTTGATGTCAAACAAAGAACAATGCACACATGATATTCGCGGCTTCGAGCAGGGGGGAAAAGAGGGCCGTGAGTCTCTAAAAACCGTCTTCCCATGCGTTACGAATACAGCACATGTGAGTTATATACAAGCCAAAACCACTGGCTCAAATTCCATTCGCCCGGCCCTATCGTCGGTATCTTCCATCATCCGCCCGCGCGTGCTTTTTCGCTCTCGCTGCCTCTCGTTCATCCCCGAACATCCCAATCTTCTATCTTTCTTTACAAATCGGGTCTCGTCGTCTCGGGTCCCCACGGCTCAGCGGTCAAGTTCGTCAGACCCTTGCTGTTCTCGCAAGTGTCGCGGCCGCTGAGAGGGCCGGGCTTGGGGACCTTTGCGGCGGAGACGCCGCCGGTGGCAGAGGCGGTGGCCTTGAGGGCGTCGAGGAGCTGGACGGTGGTCTCGGGGGTAAGGTCTTCGTAGTAGTCGTCGTTGATCTGGATCATGGGGGCGTTGACGCAGGCGCCGAGGCACTCGACCTCGAGGAGGGTGAAGAGGCCGTCCTTTGTGGTCTCGCCCTGCTTGATGCCCAAGTGGTCGATGATGGCCTTGACGATGACGTCGGAGCCGACGCCGCCAAGCTGGCAGGGGGTCTGTTTAAAGTGTTAGCATATTACGTCCATCATTCCGTTCGCACAATTCTCCGTGTCTGCGACATCTATTCGGCCCAGAGAGCATCTCGGCGGATATGATCGGAAGCCGGGGATGAACTCACTGTTGTGCAAGCCTGGATGAAGTACTTTCCGACGGGGGTGCGGTTGTACATGGTGTAGAAAGAAGCGACTTCGAAGACACGCTGGGGGGGCATCTCGAGCATGCGGGCAACCTCGTTCATGACGCTGATGCTGGTGAAGCCGTGTTGGCGCTGGCCGAGGTCGAGAATGGGCATGACGGCGGCCTTCTTGTATTGGGGAGGGTAGCGCTTGAGGATCTCGGCGATGATGGCCTCATTCTCCTTGTTGAACTTGAAAGGGACATCGGCGTTGTTCTCGGGGGAGTCGCGGTGCTGTTGAGGGGGGGAGCGAATGGTCAGCATTGCTGCGTCTTGGCATGTGGCATGCTGCCCTTCGCAAAGCAGATATCCCTCAATCGTTCTCCGCCCAGCGCGGCAGTTCGATGCATATCGCACACGCAATTGACGTGCCGGTCGGAGGGGTAGGAGGAGGAGGTCGAGGGACAGGCTGAGGGCGAGCGACTTACCACTTGCAGTGTGTCGCTGGGGCGGACGGCTGTGACGGAGAGGGCGCGGATCTGGGGCCTCGCCGCTCGACATGTCGAGCGGAGGGCTGATCTGAAGAAGAGAGGGGCGAGTCTGGAGGCCATTGCGAGGGATGGTGGCTGGCTCAATTGGCGATGGCGGAGGGCGTGGTGATGGGTTGTTGTTCGCTTCGGATTCCGGGAGGTCAAAAGTCGTGAGTTGCTTGAATAATTCAATGTCTCTGATTGGTCTGTCCGGCTAATGTGCGGAAACCCGCTTGTGCAGATTTTCGTGGTGTCATTGAGTTTGCATAAAATGTTATGCATGTCCTCCCAGAGTAAAGCTTTCTCTCCACCGGTCGTCAGACAGCTCCGTCTTGTCTCCGGCTGCTGCACCTTGTATCATCGCCTACCATCTGAGGTCTGTAGGTCGATATCGTCAACCGCTATCTTCACTCACCAATGTCGACCCAGACGAAGATATTTTCGCCGAGAATAAAACATTGAAGCGAAGTCTTCTCAGTCTTGGTTGGCAAGGCTGATTCCTGTTTAGGAGAATCAATTGACTGGTGTTGCACGAGTGGTCAAATAACCTTTCCTTCACAGAGAAGAGAACAGAGACCACGAACTGGGAACGAGTAGTGGAGTAGACTTGGACGTGGACTAACGAGGACCCATGACCCCAAAACCCGCATTATCGGGAACCTGCCAGCGCCTGGCGTACACCGGATTGAACGGCTCGCAGACGCATGGCCGTAAGCATGATGGCAGCTACTGATAAATAATAAACAACCGAGTTTTACCTCGGAGAGAGGAGGCTCAATGGTGAGACATGGACTGCCTATCAGCACGAAAAAGTGTCACAGCCCAGACCTGTCAGCGAACGTCAAGGGTCATCTTTGCAGTTACCGATTGGCTATATGTAACCCTCACTCGGACTGCAGCTTTTGTACAACGCGCGCGGTTCTTCGTAACCCCAATTCGGGGGTGCCTATTGAAGGCGTTTGGTCATCCATGATGTTGGGCGGCGATGCGTTGGAGTAAATTAAGAAAGCGGTAACATCAAGTAGGGTCTCAAAGCTTGGATCTGCGCACGTTGTCAACGTCAATCAGTGGGCTCTGAAGCTCGTTTCCACATCCGAGACACACAATAAGAAGAAGCGGCTCTGGTAGAAGCTCTCCCCCGCGTGCCGCATCATTGCTCCTCCATCTCGCATTGGAAATTAGCGAAAACTCCGGAGCCGGACCCGTTCTCAGCTCCGCACTTGGCACCCATTCTTTGGGTTGCGTGGCGGCGCCGTTCCAAGCAGGGTTGGCAGACAAACGACTTGTAAACCATTTCAGGACGTAACAAGCGGCCTTTCCCTCACCCTCCTCCCCCCTCACAGAGATAGCTTTTCCGTTAGCCGTGCCTCGGCTCGTCTCAACATCGTCCATTCGCGAAGAGAGCTCCCCCCCTAACTAACCCCCGCATCGACAGGGGTGCAATGCGGAGAATCTAGCGTCACGAAAGCATTGCCCCCAGGTTTAGATGCGTCGAAACTGGCCTCCGAAAGCCACGGTCTCGCGGCAATTGCATGGCCATTGGCTCGCCATGGGGCGGGGATCTGGGGTTATCTCGTCTGGAGGCTGGAGCTCTCGTCTGCCCCAAGTCTGCTGGTCGCTATATGAAGCTCGCTAACCCTCGTCGTCCCTACCTGTTGTCCTCTTGCCTCTCAATAAAATCGGTGTAGGCTAGATCGTGGTTGTTGGCTGACCGTATCTCTACTTTCCACTGGTAACTGGCCTGGTTCGTAAGTTGATTTTGGCTCACTCATTCACCGTATCTTGGAGCATCGAATCACTGACTCGAGTTCAGTAAACATAACGGATAGATTACTATATCGTCCAGACACGGGTCCTTCGGCTTCTGTTCAAACTGGGGCCTCAATAGAAGCTCTCAAACCTTACTGCGGCAGGGTCCCCTTCATAAGTGGCCGTTGCTACACTCACAACTCCAACCGAGCACGACGTGTTCCGTCCCAAGTCCGGGGAAAGCTCCAACGACCCCATTGAATTTCGAAGTTTCCCTACTAGTTCCTCGCTTCAAATAGAGCGAGCTCGCCTGTCGAAAAAGTTGGGTTGACGCTATTCCAAGCTTCCCGGCCGAATCCCACCAACACCACCGACAACTCCCCACAACCGCAACGATGCCGATCAAGTCACGGTGGTCGGAGCCGATTCCGAACTGCTCTCTCCAGAAATGGATCTTCGGCTCTTCCTCCGCGCCCCTCTCCGACCGAAAGGCTTTCTATGACGCCGACCGGCCAGAGACGCACTACCTGACCTTCACCGACTACCGCCTCGTCGCAAAGCAGATCGCCATCGGCCTGCAAAAGGCCGGCCTCAAGCCAGGCGACCGCGTGCTCCTCTTCTCGGGGAATAACCTTTTCTTCCCCGTCATCTTCATCGGCGTCCTCATGGCCGGCGGTATCTTCACCGGCGCCAACCCGACTTTCGTCCCTCGCGAGCTCGCCTACCAGCTCAAAGACAGCGGGGCCGTCTTCATGGTTGCTGCCGAGGGCAGCTTAGACACAGCTCTCGCTGCTGCCAAGGAGGTCCAGATGCCAGCGAGCAACGTCTTTGTGTTCGATACTACAATCCCGGGCTCATCGCAACCCGAGAAGCCCGCGCGGGGTGGTGCTCGTCACTGGACGGAGTTGATTGCTCCAAAGGCCCAAGCAGAGAAGTTCGAATGGGTTGAACCCGCGGATGCGCGCACGACGACCTGCTGTCTTAACTACAGCTCCGGCACCACCGGTGTGCCGAAGGGCGTAGAGATCACACACTACAGTTACGTTGCCAACGGATGCGGTGTTGTCAAGGTCTCGGCTTTGGAAGAGGATCACGAGGCCTCTATTGCTCGCTCCGTCGGGCTCTGCTTCTTGCCTCTATACCACGCATATGCTCAGACATATTTCGTCGCCAACTTTGCCAAGCAAGGCATTCCAGTCTACATCATGACGGGCTTCGACTTCGTCAAGATGCTCACTTACATCCAGCGCTACCGCGTCACCCAGCTCGTCAGCGTGCCACCCATCTTGGTGGCCCTGACCAAGCACCCTATCACCGCAAAGTTTGACCTGAGCAGTCTCGAGTCTGTCGGCTCCGGTGCCGCCCCGCTCGCCGAGGACGTTGCACGACAGGCCGAGAAGCTACTAAAGAAGCCAGATCTTATCGTTCGTCAGGGTTGGGGCATGACTGAGGTGACTTGCACAGCCATGACGTGGGACCCCTCGCGGTTGGTGCGCAGCTCCTCCGTGGGCGAGCTCATGCCAAACTACATGGCGAAGCTCGTGGATGAGAGCGGCAAGGAGATTACCGAGCCCAAGGTACCCGGTGAACTCCTCGTCACGGGCCCCACGGTTATGCGTGGCTACTGGCGCAACCCGAAGGCTACCCAGGAGACTATTGACACCGATTCAGAGGGCAACCGCTGGCTGCGGACCGGTGACATTGCATACGTCGACGAGTTCAAGACGGGAGGCCTGTTCTACATCGTCGACCGCAAGAAAGAGCTTATCAAGGTCAAGGGGAACCAGGTTGCTCCCGCAGAGCTTGAGGCTTTGCTCCTCGAGCGTCCAGATATCGCTGATGTAGCCGTTATCGGCGTCACCATCAACGGTGAGGAGTTTCCGCGTGCGTACGTTGTTCGGTCGCCTGGAACCAACACCTCCGGCGAGGAAATTGCCAAGTGGTTGGAGGAGAGGGTCGCTAAGCATAAGCGCCTAAGGGGCGGCGTAGCGTTCACGGATGTTATCCCTAAGAACCCGGTATGACCCCTCCACATACGTGACTCCCCAAAATCCTATATGCTAACGTCTTTATAGTCTGGAAAGATTTTGCGGAAGATTCTCAGGGAGCAGGCCAAGGAAGAAGTAGGAGACGAGCCATTAGCTAAACTGTAACGAGAGAATGTGGACTTTGAAATATGTATGACATATACTTGGTAGATTCGACAAAGAAACGAGGGCTCCTCCGTCTTACGCGTCGTTTCATTGTGCAGGTCGAGGGAGAGAGCACTCGCATCCAAGAGTATTTACGTTTGACATAAGTCGTCTTCTAAAGTCGCTAGCTAGACCTATACCGTTCGCCACCTTCCTATACTTGAGGCTCTCGTGGCGCAAGCAAACCGGGTATCGTCCCTATTGTACAGGCCCCTTCCTTGGCTAAAGACCCAAACGCCTCCTCCCTTTGTGTTTCAATATTTCAAGCATGCTCAACTCCCCATCGATATCCTGAACGGTAGTAAAATGAGGGGCAAAAAGGTGGCAAGGATACAAAATGGAGAGATGAAAAAAGACGCAACCCTACTGCGCCCTGCCCAATGCTAATGCTGATGCATTTTGACGTAAGACAAAGAAAAATCCCCCAACTCACGGAAGGCAACGGCTGGCCTACCGTCTTGCCGCACGCACCGACTGGTGTTTGGAACGGCTTCCGCGCTGTACTCTGTCCCATCCCCATATCTGCCCCCAGTGTTGGTGGATTGGATGGACAGTGCGTATGAAACGCTGAGAGTAGAGTGAATCTCTCTGAGAAGCCCATGGGGGTGGTGCTGGCCGCGTTCCACACTATGAACCGACGGCCAAGCACGAATCCAGGACTGAATCCAGGGCACTCATATCTTGAGGATCGCCGCCTTCCCACCAGGGTTCCGAGTCGATTTCCATGGCATCAACATGCCCATTCGGCAACTGCTGCTTAGCTGAAAGGCCGATGTCAACGCCCTCGGTCTTGGTATTGTCACCCAGTCCCTCGAAGCCTGGAAGCCAGGTGTAGTCGTGCCAGTTTTCGAGCTCTCCCTCGCGATAGCCGTAAGAGATTGCCGTGTTGATGATAGGAAATTGCGACAGACCGCTGTCCGCCATTTCCAGGGCGATTCGAACATCGGCCATACCAAGCGGCCCTCGTTCGCTTGCAGCCTTCGACTCGATTGGCAGAAGACCGCTCTTGTCTCGGGTCATATCGCCGCGCAAAGCCGCGTCCTCCTCTTTGACGAGCTGACGGCGGTATTTGTGCGTCTGAATCCAATTTGTGCCAGCACCGAAGCCAGCGTTGCCTCCTTCTCCTGGTCCGTTGCTTCTTGTTTTCGAAAACACGGCGGCCAGGGATTCTTTGATGAATGTTTCCGTTGCAACAGACATGAAGTACGCTGCATCAGAGACATGTCCGTTTGTAAGCCCGGCCTCGTAACAGAATGGTAACATTCTGCCCTCGATTAATTGCGCGTCTGGAAATTCGCCTGATTCGACAGCTAGAGGCTGGGCGAAACGCTTGCGGATCTCGAGGTCAAAGTCTGGCAGTCTAGTTAGCACTGGGCGACCAATAGGTGCATGCTGCACTTACTCATTTTGTTGATACCACCTATACCTCCTGCGCTGGGTGGTACCTCGGCAGTCTTGGTCTGTCGTCTGTGGTTATCCAAAAAGACGCTGGCCAGGTTCTCGTGGGGGTCGAACTGCGAAGAAGTAGAAAGTCAGAGACATAATTTGCCATGTAGGGGGGCAATGTGTAACCAACATCGTTGGACGCCAGGTCCTTGATGCGCCGCCTGTCTTTGCTGGGAAGTTGCATAACATCGCCCTTGAGCCGACGTTCAGCAGCATCGCCTGATACAGGCTTGCTACCGACGGGAGCAGTGGGTTTGTCATTGGCGCTGACCCAAGGGGCGAGACCCTGATCTGGCATCTCCCTCGTCACATTGCCGTATATCGCAGCAATCAGCTGGTTATGTAGGTGCTCCTTTTCGCCATTGGGGGAGACGAGGATGGGATCGATGCGTTCCGTATATTCAGTCTGGTTCAACCGACCTGTTTCTGGTTGTCAGCACAAGAACAAGGATGCGCCGATAGTCTGGGGTTGCGTACCGATGAGGAACTCCGTTGTCGACTCCTTGTACACGATCCATGCTTCCGGGCCAATGGCCTGCTTCAGAGCGGTATAGAGCGGCTCAAGGTCAATGCGGGCGGGAATAATCTGGCTGGTTTTGGCTGCTTTGATAGAACCCGGAGGCTGGACGGTGATTGACTTGTTGGATAATGTCGGGGTGGAAAGGTTGACGGATGGGCGGCTGCTCAAGGCCGCGGGGTCGATGTCGGGCATTGCGACGGGATGCCAGAAGGGCAGATCACGTCCTCGGTGTTGGGCGTATTAGTGGAGAAGAGCGACAGTCGCGTGCAGCAGCGGCGGCGGCGGCGGGCAGGACTCGGCGCAATGGAGAATATGTGGTCATGAGTAGCATGGATCGAAAGACGGAGAGGATGCGATCACGGATCTGGCGTTATCTTGATGAACGGACCATGCTGCGGGTGCAGGCGTGATGGCGAAGGTCGGGATGAGGTTGATCGGGGTCCGACGACTCGTCTACTGCTAGTGGAGGAAGATGCGATTGACCTGCTGCGCATTTGTCGTAGGAAATTTTGCCCACCTGTCTGACGACAAACACAGGGGGGGACCGAGCCTGGGGAAGAGGTAGCCAGTACCACTTAGTTCCGTCACCTTGTTTGGTGAAGCAAGTACTCGGCGCCTGGATTGACGCCCTGACCACTTGCTCTTAACCCCCCCCCCCCCCCCCCCTGGGAGCTGCTTGCGACTGGCACAGGGAACACTGCGAAGTCGCGTCTGGCGCGTCCCACCAGAACCTATGCGATTTACGGCAATCAACGTCCCGCGTTTGGTTTACTGCGTCGAGACTTCTTTCAACTCCCTCTGTGCTTAGAGACCTGAGATTTTTGCTTGTTGTTGAGGGAGACAGCCACTGGCGATGCCATCATGTCGGCCAACCGCGAGCATCGTATTGCTGGCGCTGTCGACAGCCTGATCGCACACCTGGTACCTAACGATCCCCACGAAGACGACGCTGCTGCCCAGGAAAGGCATGACAACTGCTTTGACCTGGTCAAATCAATCTTGGACGGGTAAGATTATTCACCATGCTTGGAGTCTCCAGCCTACTATCTCACTTATCGACTGTCGCTGACCCAAATTCACTGCCCAGCCCCGCGTCCCCCGCCATTTCCTCCGATGTTAACCACGCTTCCGACCTGATCAAGCGAAAGCTCATACAGAGCAACCCAAGCCAAGCCTTACGATTTTCTAACCTCTACACGCGCCTCCTCTCTCTACCGGTGCTCGGTCAGAAGTGGGCTATCTTATACCTCCTCTACCAGCTTGCCGACTCTCCAGATCCAAATGAGCCACTACCCCTCCCCCCGCCGAAGCCTCCTTCCCAGGCGCCGCGCGAGCCGTCCAGAAACCATGAAAGGGGTCAGTCTATGACCTCTACGCCAATCTCAAGAGAAGAAGAACAGTTCAACGACGCCTTCGCTCCTGAGGGCCTGAAGAAGTTTCCTCCGAACAATGCCAGAAAGAAGTCGGTTGACGAAAGAAAACCCGAGGAAAAAGAAAAGGAGAAGGAAACGGAAACGGAAGAGGCCGAGTCGAACAAGAGACAGGTGGCATTAAAGTCAACACTGCTGGCCGACAACTATACCGACATCGAACCATCAGAAACAGTCCTGTTGAGGGACCTCCCATTCACACTCCAAGGTCTATCATCCACTACGCTCCCACTTTCAAAACCAGATACCGTGGTATTGCCCCCGACACTACCATCGCCAATTATATCCCTTCTGCACACGGTTTCCGAGCCTTCGTTGCTGTACCGACGCCTGGAAGCCTTTGTAAAGTCACCTGCTCAAGGGCTGCTTCGACAGAGTCTTCGAGCCGCAGTAGGCGGTGAGCTGCGGGCATATCTGAGCCTCGTAGCAACCCTCGAGGGACAAATTCGCAGAGCCCTTTCTTCACTGGACGAGTCAGCGCCAAGAGGGGGTATTGGCAAAGCGGGAGTGACCTTGAAACGATGCGTAGTATGGACGCGCGAGGCGACAATGGGGCTGAGACTCATGAGTCTCATTGCTGAAGAGTCAGAAAGCAGGCGAGGCGGTCAGCTGATCTCGCTCATACATGGCTTTTCGTCATCACATGGAGATCCCATGGTTGCGGCATTTGCCGAACGTCTTTTGGTTCATGTCACACGCCCGTTCTATGACATCTTGCGCCGGTGGATCTATGACGGCGAGCTTCTCGACCCCTATTGCGAGTTCTTCGTCAAGGAGCAGCAGCAAACAGATGAACCAAAGACTGGCGGAAGCAGTGTCTGGGAGGACAAGTACGAGATTGATAAGGGCATGATTCCTAGTATCATCACTCAAGACTTCGCACAGAAAGTCTTCCTCATTGGCAAGTCTCTCAACTTCATCAGACACAGCTGCGGCGATTCACAATGGGTCGAAGACTACTCCAAGGCTGCGTCGAAGGAGCTGCGCTATGGCGACACAGCGACACTCGAGGCTTGGATCGACGAAGCCTATAAGACTACGATGAAGCGTTTGATTGACTTGATGGCGAACAAGTTCCATCTTTTCGAGCACCTACAGGCTCTCAAGAACTACATCCTCCTTGGACAAGGAGATTTCATTGCCCTCCTCATGGAGTCCCTGGCCGCTAATCTAGACCGCCCTGCTGGCGCACAATACCGTCATACACTCACGGCCCAGCTCGAGCATGCTATCCGCGGCTCCAACGCCCAATATGACTCACCTGAAGTCTTGCGTCGTCTTGACGCTCGTATGCTTCAGCTGTCACACGGTGACATTGGATGGGATTGCTTTACTCTCGAATACAAAGTTGATGCGCCTGTCGACGTCGTTGTCACCGACTGGGGTAACCGCCAGTATCTCAAGGTCTTCAACTTTCTCTGGCGCATCAAGCGTGTCGAGTTTGCTCTGGCTTCCACGTGGCGCAAGTGCATGACAGGCTCTCGCGGCGTGCTCCAGAACTCCGACCCTGTCGTGGTCCAGACATGGAAGTCGACACGGGGCGTTCTCGCAGAAATGATTCACTTCATTGGCCAGCTGCAATACTACATCCTTTTTGAGGTTATCGAATCATCCTGGAACGAGCTCCAGAAGCGCATTCACCGCGAAGGGTGCACTCTCGACGATCTCATCAAGGCACACACACGATACCTAAACGATATCACACACAAAGGCCTTCTCGGCGCTCGGCGCAGCGTTCGTCACGTCGAAACAGCTACCGGGGAAGATGACCGCGGCTCGTACCTAGCACAGCTAGGCGACCTCCTACGCGCCATGCTCAGCTACCGTGACTCCGTCGATGGTCTCTACAGCTGGAGCGTTTCCGACTTTACACGGCGTCAAGAGGCCGATGTCATGCGCATCTCGACCCGAGCTCCTCGACACCAAAAGAAGGCATCGACGCCTGGCCCCGACGGTGATGATGACAACCACGCCGTCGCGTCCGAGTTCCCGGTGCTTCAGGAACGTCTTCGCCATCTCGGTTCTTCGTTCCGCTCCCGTCTGCAGATCCTCCTCGGTGACCTTGCCTACCAGCCCGACGTCGACATGCGTTTCCTCGGAGTCGCGATGAACTTCAACGACGTCTACCAACCATCAAGGAGGAAGACCAAGACAACGTCAACTGCCTCGGCGAATACATCCAGGGCGTGAGAAAGGCGTCTGTCTCGGAGGCCCTCGGCGAAGTCGGCGTTCGTAGCGACCATAACGAAAGGGGCATTGTTGACTGATGAGTCCGGCCGTGCCAGCGCTTGCGGCCTTTTGCGCGTGTTATGGATGACTTTTACATTCCATGGTACAGGCACTCGATCAAGCATAGGACTTTGGCGTTGCATACAGGATGGGACGGGAGGTGTTTAAATTGATTGGAATTTTCTGTGTATAGACGGAAGGTACCTATGAATGACGACAAATTACCCATCATGCCAAACTGTCTCTGATTAGTGATTATGTCCACCATGTATGTTGTCTTTTGCCAAATGCCGCACACATCAAGATTCCGTATTACCGAGTTCGCTACCACCACACCTCACTTCACCACCGAGAAAAGAGAGCCCAAGAATTTAGAATGGAAACTTCATAACTATCATGCCATTTCGTCATGGAATCATGAGCCAAAGAAATCCCAACCCCACCCCCCAAAAGACAAAGGGAATAGGCGCAGTCTGGCCAGGAGATGATCTATCTGATCTTTGGGTAAAGCCGCTTGATACGGTTACCATGCAGTATTCTCACAAGAGAGAAGAAAAAAAACAAGAAAAGAAAACGACAACCGAGGGCAGGCAAGAAGCCCTTTGCCCTGCTCCTCCACTCCTCCAATCGCCGGTCGATGCTCTGACAGGATTACCCATATATACATGATGTGTTTGCGGACAATGCAGTATTGACCTCCTTCAGGAAGGCCCCTAGTGTTCGTGAAAAACCCCTGTAACCGTCATCGCCGCATGATGCCTTTTGCCAAGAGACGTTCCGTGTCTCTCAGGCCTCTAACAGAAAAAAACCATTTTCCTGGTTCCCTTTTTGTTTCCGTCCTCGACGCCAGATTGCTGCGGAGCCGGTGCCGTTTCAGGCACTCCTCGAAAGAATCCAGATCTAGTCTATACACGAAAGTCTTTCAAAGGCCGGGGCAGACAGAGGAAATGCTCAGTCAAGTGCTAAGCGATGCCTCCAAGCCGTTAAACTTTCAATTCTTTTCGAAACAATTCGTTGATGATGCTGTGGAAGCAATGTCCATCAATAGGGTATGTTGAGAACGTTGTTGGAAGGATGTCGATTCCAGCTGGTTCGTATCATGAAATGTCGCCAAGCGTACAATCAGAAAAAGACACAAACGCAATATACGCTGCAGGCCTCACGGAATTGATCGTTAGGCTGAACCGTAGCATCGTTATGTCGTAAGTGAACGCCGCCGCAACAAGGTAGTTTTCAAAGGCCAAAGCGAAGTATATGCTCGCCTTCCAACGCCCTTGCTATGATTCCAACACGATTTCGCCGTATCCACTTCAACAGCGATGCAGCCAGAATCGTAAAATCCAGACATTTCGCAAAATCCCCATGCGCTCCAATGGTGCTCGGAGGCGAGAGAAATGTGTGAGCCGTCGATGCGGCTGTATAAGTAGACGTGCTTAAACGTCCATCATTTCAGTGTCTTCGTCAATGACGGCGTCCTCGATCGTCTCATCGATCAAGGCTTCGTCAATCAGAGTGGGAAGTGAGGTGGACTCGCTAGGTCCCCACACGCCCTCAAAGACGGTTGCAGCTGATCTGCGACGATCCGCGACCCAGGTCATCGCAGGAGTCGACAGCAGCTGCTGGATAGTAGGTCGCTCACTCGGTTCAGGTCGAATCATCCAACGGACAATCTGGTCGAGTGAGCTGGGGTGAAAAGGGTCGCTCATGAAATCGGGGGGCGACCTCAGCTCAGTGCGCTTGCGGGTGATGAAGGGGCTGCTTGAATCATCCATCACGACGTTGACTCTGGTAGGGGCAATTCCAGAGTGAAGGCTGATGTCGGGAGCGCTGGTTTGAGCCAGAAGGGGGTCATCGAAGGACTGCATGGTCGGCACTCCAGCCGCGTCGCGTTGAGCACTAGTCGTGGTGGTGGCACTGAAGGTCAGGCTAGGGACTTCCGAAAGGTCACCAGAACGCAGGGCGATCCAGGTAGGGCCATTGTCAGGAAGGACAACGTTCGCAGCCATTTCGATAGTGATGAGTCCGAGAGAGAAGATGTCCGCGGGTTTGTTGAATTCGCCACGGAGGATCTCGGGGCCGATGTACTCTCTGTCACCCTCGGCATCGACGCCCTTAGCAGCAGGCCACTCGGTGGCCAGGCCGAAGTCACCAATCTTGAGGATGCCCTCAAAGGTAATGAGAATGTTAGCGGGCTTCAAATCGAGGTGAATGAACCCAGCCTCGTGAATGCTTTGCAGACCCTGCATATTCGTCAGTCATGTCAATGCCAAGGAAAGTCCGGTCAACTTACCAGGCCAATGTCATGGATGACCTTCCAGATACGGAAATCATCCAGTCTGCCCTTGCGGCCGACATTGCTCAGGAACTTGTCCAGCGTGCCCTCATCACAGAACTCGGTCTGGATGTACAGGTACTGGTTGGCCTCCCAGCTGTCGACATAGTGAAGCACATGGTCAGCGTGAGTCAAGGCCTGAAGCGCTTGGACCTCTCTCAGCTTGGCTAGGCGATCCTTGGGCCCCGTGAACGGACGGCGAGCCTTCTTGACAGCGTAGATGCGGTCGGGCTCAGGGCTTTCGCGAGAGTTCTTCGTGGGTGTTCCACTAAACACGGAGAGGAAGGAAGCGCGAGAGTAGCCAGACTTCACCACCCGGTAGACGGAGGAGAATTCACCCTTGCCAACCATCTCAACCTTGTCGAAGCGAGAGTAGAGAGAGTCATCAACATCAGCACCGCCGCGGACATTGACTGGGGTCATGAGCTGAGTCGTGGTGCTCTGGAAGGAATCGCGTCCAGAGGGGGTGGATGGAGCAGCTACGCTCCTCGGCTCAGGTGGGTTAGAAATCGAGAGGCAGCTGGCGTCAGGAATGACCATGTGCGTAGAGGGGGTTCGAGGAGAGCGCTGTTCAACTGGGCTAGCTGTATCGTGAGAAGTCATCTTAGCCAACATGTCCTTCTGAGGCTCAAACGTCGAGGGACAAAATCGAGTCCGTAAAGGCGAAGGGGCGCTGAAGCCCCGACAGGATCTCGAACGACCAAACGACGGCAAGGAAAGACGCGAAGTAGGAGACAGTCCGCTGGTCGGAGAACCAGTGGAGCCAAGGGGAGAGCTTGACAATGGACCACTGGCGCCCCTATTGTTGGACTTTCTCTCTGGAGTACACTCACCAGTAGATTCTCTAGAGATCATTGGCCGAACGGCGGAAAAGGGCAGCGATCTCTTAGCGCTGGGGCTCTCGATGCTCTGCTCACTCAGGTTGCTCAAGCTAGGGGTGAGACCCTGCTTCGTGGGTGTCGGGGGGGCGTCAGTAGTAGCAGTTGCGAGGTCGACGTTGAAGTTGGTGTCAAGGGAGAATTTCTTATCATCGTCCAAACTCAAGACACTGCCTCGGCGGGCATGGCGCGATCCCATGCGCTGGAAGATGCCAAGGCCCTTTCCTGGGTTGCCGAATGTGCTGCGAGATGATGGAGCTCCCGGTGCGTTGAAAGGGGTTGATGGCATACCACCGAACGAGTAGCGGTTGTTCTTCTTCATCACACTGCCAGGCGGTGGTGGGAAGGTGGCAAAGCCGTTGGTGGGCTTCTTGCAGGGAGTGTCGGGCATGGTTAGCTTGTTGTCGAACTCCTCGGGGTTGCGGTTGACCTTAGAGACAAGGCCCGTAGACATGAAGGCTCCAGCCCAAGGCTTGGCCGCCTTGAAGGGAGTGACATTCTCGTTGTTGTCCTCTTGCATGAAGGAGGGCCGAGAAGAGCCATAAGGCATCGACTTTGCGAAATTGATGGGAGCGCGGGGCTTCTCGAAGAGCGACGGAGGAGGCATGCTGTTATTCTGCTCCTCCAGGCTGTTTCCCGATGTTGAAGTGACCAGCGTCTTAGACAGCGGGTGAGGCTGGTGTGATGAGCGCTCAATTGGGTGAGCGGAAGGGTTGGGCAACGGTGGGTTCGATGAGAACGGGCTGTCGCGGGGAGCTTGAGGGGGAAGGAACTGATCCATTGACAAGCGCGGTCTGTTCTTGCTGTTGGGCGTTGAAAAGTCTCCGCTCATCTGTGCCAGGTGGTTTGCACCTGACCGACGTCCCCAAGAACTCCGGTCGTGTTGTCTTTGCTGGAGGGTGGACTTGCGCAGTGATCCAGTCCGGCGCGGGGCCTGGGGAGGCGGGGTCGGTGAAGGGAGAGGGTCCCGGTTTGAAGAAGAGCCGGATGATCCAAAGAGCTCGTACTCGCGGTTGGCTTCGTCGTGAATGTCAAAATTCGTCTTGCCCGGTGTGCCGCTGTTGCTGTTGTTGGTATTCGCGCTGTTGTCAAAAATGTTGAAATCAGGTGTGGTCTGGCCAAAACTTGAAATTCCGTGCAAACTGCGGCGCTTCGCGACCGGGCTGCCAAGCGAGGCCTGGTCGAGATTCATGATGGCGTCGCTGCGCTTCAGTGCGCCTGATCCCGGGACTGCCTGCGACTCACCCTGGCCTTCGATCGACCTGAAAATACTCGCTTGCTGAGCGTGACCGGTGCCGTCAAGATGGAAACTGTGGCGTGATGATTTTTGAAAGTTCGATCTGGACAGCGGGCTGACCTGGCCGTTGTTTTCCTGGCCGGGGCTTTCGGAGCTTGAAGCAGACGAGGGGCAAGAAGGAGTAGAATTTCCCGAGTCAGAGGTAGCGTTCAGAGCGCGCTTGAGAGGTGACTTGGGCGAAGTTCGAAGTCGAGTTACTGGCCGCGAAGGGCTGCCCGTCACCTTGGATGACTTTGCAGAGCGCAGAGAGAGGCGGACGCTGGGGCGGAATGGCGTGGCCAGGCTTGGGGGCGAGCTCAAGGGCGTAGTAGAGGTCAGCATGGAGGGAGGAAGGCCAGCTGGGGTAAAGCTGAGGGGTTGCTGGTCCTGCAGGCCGCTGATGCCACTGTTGCTGCCACTGCTACTAGGTGGTGTTGGTGTTGGTGTGTATCGTCGGCATGGCGATTGCTGCTGGACTGGTGTGTGGGATCCGCTGTGAGAGCTATCGGTGCTCTCAAGAGAGTTGGTGCGCGCCAGGCTGAACTTGGAGGGCGATCTGGAGAGTGACCTTCTCAGGCCCCTCACAGAGGAGGCAAGCACGTCCACATGGTGGACATGTGTTGGGCTGGGAACAGTGAGTGTTCCTCCGCTGCTGTTAGAGAACGACATGTTGGTTGGATGGCGTTCTTTGAGTGTCTTGTTTTGTTGTGTGGTCTATCGTTTTTTTTTTCTCTTTCTTGGGATTCGCTGTCAAAATACAAAGAGCTGAGCGCCGTAATGTTGGTGTATCTTCGTAGCAAGCAATGAATCAATCAATCCTGGGAGGGCAAGCAAACTGTCGCTGGGTATTGGTCGTCGGAATACTGTTTCGCTGGCTGCTCCGCGTAGGTGGTGGTGGAGCAAAGGTGCGATCGATGGATGGAGATGAGGCGTGTCGATTCGAGTCGAGTCGAGGGTTGGTGGCTGGCCTATGGCGCGTGTGTTGTTTGGCCTATACGGGAACGTGTTGGCGATCTGAAGAGATGCGGACTCCGAGGGCGCAGCTTCCTGAGGCGCGCGCGGAAGTGTGTATCGTCGATATTTCGGGGTCCTATCCCAAAGCGGTTGTTGATAGGACGGAGGAGACTTGCGGGAGTCCCTCAGGTGGGAGCAGTTACACGTGGTTGAGGCGATGAGGCCTGGATAGGCGGAAAGAGCGCCCTCTTTCTTGGTTCGATGCTGGTGGGACGTGGTGTTGCAGAAAGAAGTTGAAGGGTGGAAAAGGAGGGAAGGGCCCAGGCAGGAGGGCCAGGAAGAAGGGACGGGACGGGAGCGCAAGTGCATCTACTGCATGGCGCTAAGGTCTGAGGGGGGATGTCAAGCAGGAACGGTTAGGCATGCGTCTTGCTTCGCATCTTCATTCCCCTGGTGCTTGTGTCGCGACTTGTGATCGGCAGGCGACTCTTTCAAGTCATGGCCAGGAAAAAGAGAGGCTGGGGTAGAGGGTGAGAGGAAGTAGGGGTCCTTTCTCTCTTTCGCGTTGTGTTGTGTCGTGTCGTGTTGGTGGTGGTGAGAGTTGGTTGGGTGAGGCGGGTGGCAAAGCCCTTTGGGCAGCGAAGGTATCTCTGACTCTTGTTGGCCTTGTAAACTTGGAAGGCTGCAGACAAGGACAGGCACCCTCAGAAGGCAAAGGATGAGTGTGTGAGAGAGGGCGAGACTTGGGCGCAAAGGAAGGTGGAAGGATGCGCGGTGTAAGAGGATGAAGTGTGTGCGTCGGGTTGTGTGAGAGAGAGTGGGTGGTGGGTGGTTGGGTGTGGGAGCGGGTGCGGATGCGCCAGTACAAGTGAATTGCGCGCGCAACAAAGTGGGTGGGTGAAGTGCTGATAGTGGGCTGGCCTGGGTCTTGCTCTATCTTGGTGGGAAAGTTGGGATGGGATAGATGGGCAGGACAGGACAGTACAGGACAGGGCAGGCGGGCAGCCAAAGGCCTTGGACACACTGGGGGATCGCAGTCAGAATGGAGCCTTCTGGGTGGCTCCAGGCGCTGAGGACGCAAGCTGAGTGGATGGTTCAGGTTTGGAACGGAGAGAAAAGAAAAGACCCAAGTCCTGGAAAGCCGCTGCTACTGCTTTTCGCGATGGCGCGCGTGGCGTGTGTGTTGTTTACACGACTTCCGAAAGAGGAAAGGTGGTGGCTTTTCACGTGACAGACGCGTCGGGAGCTGGTGGGGCTGGCTGGTCTCTGCTAAGGAAAGACCGTCCTGAGGCTGCAGCTGGTCGCAAAGTCGCTTGCTGTCGCACCTGCAGGTCCCGGATTGGGGAAAAAAACAAAACCTGGAGAGGCATGAAGACGTCTCGAATGAAGAATCCCGAGGCTTCATCATGTCTTGGACTTCGCATTCGGGAGCCGACAGTCGACTTTCTTCTAGTTGTTCGTTTGTCGCCCAGTATCAGACATCAATCAACAATGTGTCTGCAGCCCCCCTCCCCCCCGTCGTCCCTCGCCCGCCCTGACATCACTAACAACTAACATGCTCGAACCCAACGGTCTGGCATCCAAATAGACCAGGGGCCGTCCCCGGACACAACCCAGGGGATGCCTTTTCGGACGTCTACCAGTACCGCTCATTGGCTGCGTCTGCCCTCTGCCTGCAGGGTCCCGCCCACGCGTCTGAGGTCTCATGCAGCCATGCCGCACCTCATGAGCACACTTCACGGAGCGAAAATTGACACAAAAAATAACATACTGAAATCCGAGAGCAGACGAGAAACATCAGTCGAGCCCCTATATTTTTCTCCTTGGGCCTCCTGTTCTGTGCGTCACGACTTGCAGCAGCGTCCGCCCACCCGCACACTACATGGAGTCAAGGGTCAGCATCTTGCACGTAAAAGACCAGACGACAGGCGAGCGAGCCTTCCCACCAGGGTTTCTCCAGTCCCAACACACTGACGGTCGACCTGAGGGAAAAGGCGCCTGTGCGACTGTGCCCCTCTTTGCTAGGTTCCATTCTCAGTCGTGGATTGTGGTCCTGCGGTGCTGGCCTTACCTCGTGCATGCCTACCACCTCACCTCCCCGCCGGCCGGATCCCGTGTGCCTTGATCAGTCGCTCGCACACTGCAGTAGCTGCTGCAGTGTCAACTGGTCCCTGGTCTCAAAGCCACGATTCGACTGCCACTTGTCCGCTTGATGCTGACGCTCCCCATCCAGACGCAGCGAAACGCTCCTCTGACTCTTACCCTCTCTTCAGCTTCGCTGTGTCAAGACGCACCTCAGCATCATCACCCTGCGGAGAACAATGACTGCATTTGCGACTGTCGGGCAGCGGCAAAAGGTGGGTTCATCATCAAAGTGGCAGGACGGATGATCCATGGACGATGGAGCCAGGCCACTAAACAAACGCGACAAGCCACAGCCGAGACCAAAACAAAACAAAAAATGTTTTTGTTTTGTTCGCCAATGTCAACAATACTTATCATTTGCGAGCCTCACCACCAGTTTTGCGAGTACCCATCAGCCCAGCGCCCTTCGGTCCCAACGGCGTAGCTGAGCATTCGGCTGGGGCTGCTACTCCCACCGTCACCACCGTCATCGCCATCCACCGCCAAACAGCATCCAACCTTGCGTGCTTGCCTCACCACCTACCAGTGGCATACCTCTCAGATACCCGGACCCTGCTGTTACGCACATTGGTCACTTTTCCTATCCATTTTACTGTCCATCGCTCAATGGGGGGAATGACAGGGTCCGCGATTGATTACGCCCGATATTACGATTTCATGCTTGCGACCGCCATCATTTCGCTTCTGTCTTCATCGTGACCTGCGACTTGCGACCTGCCCATTGTGTTCAACATTGAAAAGCTCCAGACGACAGGCAACATCTAGCTTTCCAGGTCGGCTTCCAGAAAGACGCCGGCGCTGAATGGTCCACCGACCGGTCCTCCCATTCCAGGAAACCAGAAGTCTCCTCCCCGCTGTCTTTTTCTCCCTGAAATCTCATTTTCTGCCCACCAGCGCAAGAAAGTCCTGGAACATTGGGAATGGTCTGGATGATCTAACACTTCGGGCGCGGCAGCGGCCTACAAGGTTTCCTCTAAGAATAAAAAGGAATTGGTGTTTCTACCCCCTCCCTATCCGTCCCGTCACCTCGTCACCACTAAACTACCGACAAACTGGCCTCATCCACTGATCCTCGCCACGCTATCTTCACCTGTTGCTCCTCTTCAACGGGCTGTTGGTTGCGTCAAAAATAACCGGGCTGCGACAAGATCGCGCTCCCGTTTCGGTGGCCCACCAGGGCGGGGAGGGGCAGGAGCTTGGATCGCCGTTCGAGCCTCTCCTCCCTCCAGAGCTCAGACACTCTTTGACCTCTCTTTTTTTTTTTTATTCCACACTTGTCCCTTCGCCGGTCGCCCACGTCCTGGTTGGTTACGTTCCATGCCGGAGGAAGAGAACCCAACAAGAGACAAGACGGCACAGGAACGACTCGTCGTATCGGGCGGCAAGACAAGGGATGGACGGGAAGTGGCTGCAAGGCGACGCAATGCCCAGGCCAAGATGCAAAGGTATCATCAGGGTTACACCAGTACGCAAGATATTGAATCCAAGCCACACAACCCAAAGAAAGAACCATAGATAACACTGGATGAGATGACCTGAGGTGGTGAAGACCCCGTTTTTTTCTCAGTTTCTCCTCTGGTCAAATCTCTGGTATACGGTAAAATGCAATATGTTCGCTTCCGCACGTGCAAAGCAAAAGGTTGAGAAACAGATCGCCTTCCTGTCAGATGTATCGTGCAGCAGTTGCAGCGGAGGAAGAGGACCGGGAACAAGACAAGAGACGGACGTCCAACCCATGGACAGAGTGGCCCCCCTCACTCAGATCACCGTCCCCAGTGCTCCTCTTTGTGCCACAGCCCGCGGTCCATCGACCCCGAAACCTGGGCAGAAGACCCAGAAATTGCTCGATATTGACGTCTCCTCTGCTCCGAGGCCCAGCGGGCAGCCAACAGGCCCCCAGAAAATCTTCCCGTCCTCCGAAAGCCACTAATACGGTAGGCAGGTATCTATCTAATCGGGAGAATGCCAAAAAACCGACCTCCAATTTCCCATCTGGCCCCCCTTCCCATATTACACCGGATATCATATTAAAGCACCCTTTATTGTTGTTTGTTGATGGGTGTAAATTCAAAATCAACAAACAAATCAACAACCTCCCCTCCCTCCCCTCCATCGCCTATCGATACCGGTGGATTCCAATCCGCCACCCCTTGAATCCTCCCCTCCCTCTTTGCCCCTCCCCTTTCCCCTCCCAGGCCAGCAGCTCATTGTCAATGTCATCCCCGTATTGTAGGATCCTCTCCCTCCCCTCCCCCCCCCATCTGCGACAGGCACAGCACAGACTCCCGACCTCCGAAACAACCGCCGCGTACAAAAAACGACGCAGAGCGACGAATAGTACGGGGCGGACCGCCGCGCGGAAGGGAACGAAAAGAAAGGGATGCAAGCAAATAGGCGATTCGAAGAAACAATGTCTCTACCTATCTGCAAAACCCCGTCTCAGACAATCGTGTCCACGGGAAGAGAGAAGATATCAATTCCAAGAAGGAAAAGAAACCGCACAAAAGTACATTGGTAGTAGACAACAGAGAACCAAAGAAAAAAAAAAGGCCCCTAGAGGTAGCTAGTAGCTGTTGTAGACCGTTGCCGTCTGTTCAAGCCGCCGTTCCACGTCCAGCCTGGCTACCGTAGCCGTGCGTCCGAGCCGGGCTGGCCGCGCAGCCGCCGTTGTCGCCACCCGAAGTGCACCCGGGACCAAAGGTCATGAGATTGTTTCCCATCTTTGCTTCTTTTTCTGCCGGAGACGCCCGTTCTGCGTCTATGTGCGGCCCCGTGGCTGCTGTTGTGCTATCCGGTGATGGGGTGCGCGACGCACCCGTCTCTCGCATGCCACCACATACGCGACCTCTTTCCCGTGCCGTGACCCAATGTTGAAGACAAGGTATCACGCCCGTCTCGGAATGTCCTGGGTGAGTTGAGATTCGCCTCGTCCCGAGAGAGAGGCTGGGCAAAGGGCGTCCACGTCGAGCCAAAGTATACGCAAGATTTTCCTGGATAGACCTGACAAAAATCTCATGACATTGCAGTTTCTACGCTAATAGTTCGTGGAAACGACGAAGAATAACCCGATGGGAAGTAACTAATAGACGTTTCTCTCCAATGATTTTCATCATATCCTCCTACTGATATGTTCGCCCGCATTACGCTGAGCAGGAATATGACTCCATGAAGATCAGATTCTAAGGCTCTAGATGGCAGCACGTAAACATGCCAATGCCCAGGTGCGGGAAGATTAATCACAAGCGAGTAGCAGGACCAGTCAGCTCATGAGGCCGAGCGGCGTTTGACCGCGATAAACTGGATGGACCGTGAGGAGCTTCTCGAGGAAGGAGAGTCCATCCACACATCTGAACCCCAGCATCGTGACTTGCTTATACATGTGATATTCCCTAGCAAACTTTCGATAAACGAGGTTGGCGCGGTGTGAGTTGCTACGATGGTCGATCGATCAACGCTGAAAGTGGTGGCCTAGGCCATGTGAAGCCTCCACGCCCAGACAGGACGTCATTATATAAAATTGCTTCTTTGAGCTCGGTCCATGCGGGCAATGGGAACTAGAGGAAGAGGAGGAATCTAACGTACACCAAAGCCACCCCAGCGGAACCCTTTAGTCGGGTTCACTTTGACGTCGGCAGTCGCAAGCCAGCCGCGCCAACCATGCCAATAATCCAAACGCCACAAGACCCCAATGTTGTCCGTTTCTTTGTCGATCGAGTCGACCTATTTTCCTCTAGGAGCCCAATATCTTGGATATCGAAGTTTCTCCCTGTACAATACGAGGAGAGCCAGCCTTGAATGCCACGCGTCCAGTAAAGAGAGAGAATATGCTGGGTATCAATTATAGAGAAAAAACAAACAGCCACTCCGCAGCCGGTAATGAAGTCTGTCCGTGGTTCACTCCACCCCCACCGCGCGTCCAACGGCTTATGAAAGATTCCTCCGAATCCATTCTGCCCAGGAGCAGAGGTCTTCCATCACCTCAAGCAGCTTGCCCAGATCCTCCGGAGTAAGTTGCTTGTGTTTGCCCTTATCCGCTGCCGCTACATCCTCATCAACTGCGGGCACGATGTTTTGCGATACGATGTGCACCCGCCCATTCTCCTGAATCTGAAGATCAACGTTGGCGGTCGCATTGCGGAAGGGGAAGACGACGTGTAAACCAGCGGACGGATGTACAGTCAAGACAACATCGATTGTCAACTCTTGTTCATTGTCTCCAAGCTTGTTGGACATAAACATCTCGTATTCAGCTGATGTAGTCGTCGTCGCCTCGACCGTATCGATGGACTGGTCCTTCTCAGGCAGTGGCTGTCCAGATATGTCTGAGCCGAAGCTCCTCTCAAGCAGTGTTGATATCAGAGCATACTGGCGAAGGATGGGTAGCATGGCTACAAGTTGCCGAGGGTGAGAAAAGGAGAGCTCAGTTACGGTTTGTCCATAGACTGGCTTGTAAATGAGAAGCGTGTTCTTGTGTCTTCGGGAGATTGTGTTGCCGTCGCCCGGGACCTGTATCGCCCTCCGGCAAGAAATGACACGAAGTTCGCTCGCATCGTGGTTGGTCCCGTCGGGTATAGGGAAGGATATGCTGTCAAACGTGTGGATTGGGACCAGCATAGGTTGGGACGCCGCGCCTGTCAGGCTGTGCAAGTTGTTCCACACGGATTGTGGCACTATGACTGGCGGGGCCAGTGTTGCAATAAACTTGACTTTCGGAAGTCTTTGTGTACTGCCATCTGGGCCCACCATATCCATACCTTTGTCCTTGTTGTCGTCGGTTTGCGGGAGGCTCGTCGCCTCTGGCTCCTGCCAGTCGATGCCCGATGCGCCAGCAAGGATGTCGTCTGGACCAGGCTCAGCAACAACCTTTTGGGATATCCAGCTCTCTGATACGCGGACGGGCGGGAATAACTCTCCGTCATCTAGCGCTTTGCAGGCTATGAGAATGGACCAGACCTTCTCTTGCTTCTCGCAGTATCGGACGGTCTCCGTCTTGGGTATGACATGACGTCTTTCCGTCCAATACTCGACACTGAGGCCGACCATGTCTCTGGCGTGCATCATCGGGCGACCGCTTTTCATGCACTTGACTGTGGTTTGAAGAAAGCGCGCTGGCTTCCCGCCCATCGCGGCATCTTCCTGCAGCTTCGACAGCTCCCAACGGAAGAGACGCTCCAAGCACTCAAAGATGCCAGCCAGAGCCTCCTGGCAGTCAAGTCCGGGGATGACACTGAGCTTGTCAAGATTTGCGAGGCGCTCCAGATTCTCAGAGAATTTGTCCAGGGTCTTGGTCAGAGGACTTTGGTCCGGCCGAAGCTGGAGATCCTCGAGTAGAATCTTGGCGGCTTGGTCTTTGTGCCTCGTCACGATTGGGGCCGACTCCGGGAACGTCAACGAGACGTTCTCCACAACGTTGTTGTTCAAGACAATGTCCACCGTCAGGGCCTGTCCTGCTATGACAAGCATCTTGGTCTTCCTGCCGTCGGGCGACCGGTGCTCGTCCCAGATGCTAGTAAGACCTGTACGGAGGGTCAGTCGCTCGAGGCCCGCTTCGCTCACTCGTCCTTTCGCTTTCTGCCAGAAAAACTAGTCAGTCTTCGTCGCAGAAGCAATTTGACAGGTTTGACTGACCCCAAGAATATCAATGACCGAATCCAGGCGCTTGATCTTGTCATCCTCGCCCATTCCTCCCAGACCACCGAATCCTCCGACACCAACATGATCCAAGCCAATATCCAATCCGCCGCTTATTCCAAGGGCGCCCATAGCTGCTGCGGCAGACGGACTGTCGAAGTTGAGAGCGCCATTAGGGTGTCCCATAAGAGTAGTCGAGGTCGCAGGCGATTTCTTAAACTGCTGAGGCGAAGACCGAGGACCCCTTGGGGAGAAGGCTGCATGGGTCTGGGACGCTGAGAAGGGTGTCGAGACCGGTGGTGTCGCTGCAGCAAGCTGCGAAGGTGTCCGGCCTTGTTGCGAAGCGGCATGCTTCATCTGAGTCGGAGTAGCCATCGTTGGAGCTGGTCGATCGAGTTTGTGGGCGATCGCGATTTATGGCTGAATCCGACCGCGCCGTGCTATGTTGCCAATTCTCTCGTGATCATCAAGAGGGGAGAAAAGCCTATTGCCAGTGCGAAAGATGTGCCAAAAAACAAAATGAAAAAAGACGTCACAGGAAGTAATTCTGTATACTGGCAGGGGAATGAAGACGGCAGTTTCCACCGCAGGTTTGGAGGAGTCGACACGCAGTTGACCGCGTCCCGCAGTAGCAAGGGCAGCAAGGTGAGAAGGAAGGCACGTCAGCTCCGGCTTACTTGCCTCGGAAAGCACACACATCCGGGGTTTAACCGGGAGTACACCCACGCCTTCATTCGTTGACTGCACATGAATTGATTTAAAGTCCCGTTCTTCTGACAAAAAGGACCTACCTACAAAATGCACACTTCTAGTAAGCATTGTTTAAGCATATATGATGTCATTGCGCGAGTGACACCTAGTTTTGGATTTGACAGGCCTTTCTCCATATGTTTTCGTTTGATACTTCGTGAATATTCTCATCGAGGCGTTTTAAAACAGAGAGCTGAAAACCGGCAGAAAGTCACCTATTAAGCATTCTAGTGTTTGATGTCGAGGTTGCAAATACATCATGTCGGTCTGACGCTCCAATGTGGCTGTGAACTGGCGCCAAAGCAGGCATGATCACTTGAATGACGCGAGAGGCTCACAGCGAAATGAACAAGTTTTTTTCTGAAGCAACAATAGCTTTTTATTTCCGTTTCGTCAAGTCGTTACCTTAAAGAGACAGTTCCCAACGTCTCACACTTTTTGTGAAAGAATAAAAATTCATCGTAAAGTCATCATCCTTCCCTTGACACGCTCGGTGCCAGATCCCCCCTGTATTCAAGACAGAAAAGGAAAGCGGAAACAAGGTAATGTAGGTGATCAGTCCTCAAAGTAGTGTGGCTACTTCGCCCGAGCTCATAACAGGCGAAGGGAAGCGCCATGGGGTCCCAAATCTCCGTCTCTTACGTGTGTATGTTGCCCCGAGGATCAATGAGAAAAACAAAAAAAGGAATAACAGCCGAGTCTTTAGAATTAAGTCCCTCCCCCATGCAAGCGTCAGTCATCAGCATGTACAGCCGTGAGGGCATTTAAAATCAGGGAATGAGAGTCGTCAATCGTCATCATGTAACGTTGATGGCGGAAAGTCGTCTCGCGAATACAAAGACAGATAAGAAAATGGTGTGTGCAAGGAGCGACGAGAAGCGTCATTTAGATGCCTCTAGATCATCAATTCAGACGTTCATGACCGATCATGTCTCGTACCCTGGTTTAGCCACAACGCCTCAAATGAAGTGTCAAACGGCAGAGGTTGGAAAATATCGACTCAGCGAAGGTTTTTTTTTTTTTACCTTCGTCGCGGCTGCTGGGCCATCACAGGCGGGGCGTACGCCATGGCCGGGACTTGTGAGTCCAAGAGGGTTTTGCGACGCTTGAGGTCCATGCCGCCGCCGCTTGATGGGCGCTGCAGGTCGTCGTCTTCGTCGCGCCCGCGCTTGATGCCGCCAGCACCGTTCATCTGGGACGCGTATCCGTTTGACATGGATCCCATATCGGCTTGAGGCTGGTAAACATCGCCGGTTCCGGCTCCAGCAGCAGTTCCACGGTCGTTGCTCATTACATTATACAGGTTGCTTGAGGGTTGTTGGGGTACACGCGGAGGAGTGTTGTAACCAGCTTGCTGGGAGTAGTATGGTTGAGGAGCAGCAGCTGTGCGGGGAGTTGCGCGACCAGACGCAGGCGGGTGGCTCGGCGAGCCGGTCATCTCAGGGGAGAGGTGCTGATGTTCAGCGGGTAGGTTTCCGACGGCAGGAGCAGAGTAGTTGTAGGAAGCACGGCTGGCGTCATACGCGCCACTGTCGTGGGTGTATTCGGCATCATGGTCATGCTCAGCTTCCTCATCCCCGGCAGGTTGACCACCGGATTGATCAGCGTGGATAATTCCGTTGGCGGGTTTCTGGTCCTGAGGAGCGCCAGAAGTTGCGGGGCGTGTTGTCGGAGGTCCCATGTCGTTCTTAGCGTACGGGTCGGGCTGGCCGTAGACGGGGCGGTCTTGAGAAGAAGGATTGGTAGCTTGGTACGGCGACTGTTGGGCGGAAGGGTTATACATCGGTCTCGAGTTGTCGTACTGTTGCGCGCCGGACTGATACGATTGCATGTTCTGAATAGTCGTTCCCGGGGGTGTGGAGGCCGGTGTTGCGGGCATTGAACGGGCGTTGCTCAAGCCGGTATCGATGGACATCGGGTTGGCGCCTTGAGCGCTGCCCATTCCTTGACCCTGTGCCCACTGGAATCCGCTGTCCGAAGCGTTCATGTTCCCGCCCATGACGCTGGAGGCGCTAGTCGGCGGCGTGGGGAAGGTGTGCGCGCGATCAAGCGAGGGACGTCCCATTTGAGCGTGGGACGGCAGCGACTGCTGGGGGCCAGGCAAGCTCATGTGGTGATGATGTTGCTGAATGGAGGGTAGCCCAGGGGCACCGGTCTGAGGAGCACCGCGCATTTGGTTCTGTTCTTGCTTGCGACGTTCAGCAGCAGCCATGACCTGGTTGGTGCGGGTCTGATTTGTGGGGTGGTACAGCAAAGCACCAATGTTGTGAACAAACAGCGGGTACAGGAGCTCCGTAATCTTCTCCTTGTTGGCGAAGTCGAGTGCCCTCTCAAATGGAATCCTGCGTCGCGTTAGCTGGAACTCGGCAGTAGACGCGTCTTTGCTGAGCTCAACTTACCAGACACCCTTCAAATGCATGGGGCCAATCTTGACAACATGTCTCACTTTTTCGCTCTTGAGAATGCCATCTCTGCGGCCGCGGGTCATACCAGCAACGTTGAGAAGCTTGGTGCCATTGATCATGTGATTGTCTGCAAAGGTGTCAACGACTGCAGTTCTAATGTGGCATGGCATTGCAACTTACCCTCACGGCGCGCGACACAGATACCGCGGGCCTCGACCTGAAAACACAGACTGCCCTCGTCTTCCCACAGCGTAGCTGTCACTCTGGGCTTCATTCCTGGGGGAGCAACCTGTCCGGTGGTGTCAAAGCCTTGGAAGCCTTGGGTTGCTACACCGGGCAAAGGAAGGACGTTTTGGCCCATCTGGCTAGCAGGTTGCGCACTCTGGGGCGAGGTCAAACCATTGGCGTAGCCATACTGGGAGTACTGGGGTTGCGGGGCGTACTGGGGCATATGAGTCGGTTGTAACGGCGGGTGCTGTGAGTGGTAAGACATGGCGCCAGAGGTGACGGTCTGGGGCGGCGGCGCCTGTCCAGCGGACATGTGTTGCGAGTAATACATGTCGGCAGCGGGTTGATTCATGGCGGGGTAGCTATCGTATGCACCGACCTGCTGGCTTGAGGAACCAGGAATGGTAGCGGTGATGGGCAGAGTAGGAGAGGGGGTCTTGGGGCCGTTGGAGGATGCGGCCGAGGTGAAGGACGACTGCGAGGCGTGCGAGCTTGAGGCGGACCCAATAGAGCTGACCCGGGGTGACGAGGTACCCGACGAGTATGCCTGATGCGAGTTTGGCAATGGCAGAGACGGCACTCTCTCGCTGCTCATGTACCTCTGGGCTGCGTAGTTGTTATAGTACGACACGTCGGTCGGTCCCCGGGTTTGCACTTGAGAAATCGACGGTAGATCCAGCTTCACGGTGTTGCCCCGAAGGTTCGTACCTGACGCCAGACAGTCAGTGGAGTCCGAGTCGTTCGCGAGCCTCTGGACTGCGGCAGCTGCAAAAACACACGAGCGTGGAAAGAGCAGCAATTGTCTTTCCAGGCGTCGAGCGTTGTTCAGTCAAATTGACCTGTCCAATCGGCGCAGTTGATAGCGCAGTTGGAATCAGTTGGCGAGGTTTGACGGCGCAAAAAAAACAAAAAACGTCAGGTTGTTCGAGCGGTGAGGGTGCTACCAGGCAAGATGGAACGATAACCGTGGTACGAGAACTTTTCTTGAGTGAAAACAGATCAGGACGGTCGTGGGGCGTCGTAAGCAGTCGTTAAAAAAGAAATCAGAGCTTCAGTAACGTTAGCATCTGATTGTGTCAAGCCGTGGGAACTGTTGCAATGGCTATTTTGTATCGGTAAGGTCGAATAGAGAGTAGTCTTCAGACGTCGGTCGTCGAAGGGCAGAGTAAATACAAGAGATTGGGTTGACCTCTTGGTTCTTTACTTGCTTGGCGGGTTGCACGAAGGCGCCGAGGACGGTGACGGTAGGAAGCGAGAGAATGGCCCTTTTTTCTTGTGAAATGGGGAGCTGAGTAACAGGCGGTGGAGGCCGTTTGTATGAAAGGTCTTATCGAAGCAGAGGTACCGAACAAGCAGCACACACAAACACTTTCGCAGAGACCAGGCAACAAATCGTGGACTTCGAGCGAGGTCGTTGGTTTTTTGTTTTTCTTCTTCTCTCTTCGTCGAGCTCACCCAACTCTTCTAATGCAGGTACATCAGCTAGAGTTGGCGTGTAAGATGGGGGTGGAGGGTGCAGCAGCAGAGATGCAGGAATGCAAACCAAACCAAGGACTTTTCGTTCTGAGATGGCGCTTATGGGAAAGGGTAGGAGGGCTGGTGAAGAGGCATTGGGAGCATAGAAGAAGTTTGGGTTCAGACTTACCGTCCTCGCCTCTTGGGCTGTCCTAAGGGAATATTGGAGGTGGTTGGTGGAGTCGTGAGAGGTAAAAGGAAAAGAAAGAAGCCGGGCGTGGGAAGGTTTTGTTTTCGGTGGTGAGAGAAAAGAAGAGGAGGCAGGTCGAAGTCCCTCCACCCCATCTACAGACTACGGTCCTCAAGATCATACATCCACGCCCCCGACCGGTGCAGCTAAGGTCAAGGTAGGCAAGGTAAAGCCAGGGTGCTGCAGGACGTGGACCAGGTGTTGAGAGGGGACGGGAGGTAGGTACCAACTCGACTGGGGTACTGCGGTATCCGCAGAGCGGTGCGGGCTGCGGGCTGCGGTACGGGGATGCCACGGCTTAGGTCATGTCCAAGGGCAGGTCCAGCTCCAGCTCCAACAGAGCAGAAGACCGTGGGTACTCTGGCTGCGCGAAAGGCAGGTTGGGGACGGACGAGCGATCGAGCAGCGAGCAAAGAGGCATGGATTGGATGGTGTGGTGGTTGTCGTGGCGGTGGTAATGGTGGCAGCCAGCAGCAAGCAGCAACAGCAGCTGTGGCACTGGCAATGGCATTGGCACTGGCACGGTAAGGTAAGGTAACAAGTAGCCGGGGCAGAAGAGAGGAAGGGCGAGCGAGCGAGCGAGCGCCAGAGCCCGTTGCCCTCTGGCAAGGTCAGGTACCGCGTAGAAAGGACCTATCCGTGCCTGCCCGCCTACTGAGTGTCAGTCACAGAGAGATGGCAATGGGCGGAGAAGGGGACCACCAAGAGTACTGGGGTACATGGTGCGAGGCAACAAAAAAAAAAAAAAAAAAAAAAAAAAAACCGCGGAGGAGCAAAGGCGGCCGTACGTACCATCGATACTTGCAGCGAGCGGTGCAATGCGGTGCGGTGCGGAGCGGCGGTGGTCGACAAGGTTGGTTTACGCTAGATTGGAAGAGGCACAGGCGAGAGAGGGCCTGCCCGGGGTGCGAGGAAGCACAGAGAGTGAGTGGTGGGTTTGGTGGCTGCTCTTCTTCCTCGTCGCTCGCTGCTGGTTGAGTGGACTGTCCGTCGACCGGGGTGGGAGGGGCCACCATTCATGGGCAGCAATTGGTAGGCATCCGCACCTACCTTACCTGCCTAGGGTGCAAGTTGAGGGCAACGGCAAAGGGAAAGTACTTGGTACTCATGGGATAGAAGGAGAAGAAGGAGGAGCAGAGGAGGGAGGGGCAGGCCAGAGAAAGAGAGAGTGAGAGAGACGAGGGAGGAGGGCGTGTAGCTTGGAAACTTGACCACGGACAAGCGGTGCAGGGAACACCATGGACAGCCAAGCAAGGTACGTACCCACAGCCTGGGCGAGCTGCTCTCTGGCTTCTGGACGGAGAGAACTGCCAGCCCAGGTACCAGAGTACCTACATCCGACACACCATACTAGGCATGCTTCTTTGCACACAGAACCCTAGAGTACTCTGCTCTGCTCTGCTCCGTACGCTGGGAACTCGACCTAGGTACGGCGGTATGCGCTCGCTACGCTTCCTGGGAGGATTCGGGTTCGACTCTCGGGGACCGGGGCTACCGCGCCTGTGGTTCGTTCACCGGCCGGCTCTTCCCACTGCGAGCTCTCTGTAGTTACCGTCCGGATATCGTCTTCAATCCCACACCTCTCGAACCCTCTCCTCCTTACGAAAGGTCGCCATTCATGTTTTGTTGTTTTGCTCGGCCGTCGCCATGTTCGGCCCATGTGGCTTTTGGCTCCCGTCTATTTGGACGGATACCATTTCTACATTGTGTGTTTGGACATCCCCCCATGTGCGGACGAAATCTCGATAATACACTTTTTTTTGTTTTGCCTTTTTGACTTGTCCTGTGTTCAATGAGAAGAATCAGCGGAAGCCTGTGTGGAATACAAGTGGAGACTTTGACTCGCTCGCGATTGCTGTCTCTTCTTTTTTTTTTCTTTCCCCTCCCGCGTAGGTGGTGAGCGCCATCGTCCAGTGTTCCGCTAGCTGAGAGGTACCTCACCTGCTATGGACCAGGTATCTGTCCACGAAGCACCCTACGCCGTGCCTTGCCTTAGTTAGCGACACTTTCTGTTTCCCATCGTCCTTGGACTTCTCCAAAACTCCTCAGTCGGGTGCTTCAGCTTATCCGCCGCAATTGCGTCGGTAAGCGATCTTGCCGTCGGTCTTCGCCTCCTTCTGCCTCTCTGTCTGGAGTGATTTCGTCTCTTCTTCGGTCTTGACCACTGTGTCGGGCTGGAGCGTGGTGTCAAGTGAATTCTCAGCTAGCTACCTGAGCCCTCGAAGGGTGGTACCGGCAAGCTAACCGTCGCCGTTCGGTGGATCAACTTGAAGGGCCCTGGAACTCTCGCTGGCTCTGGCTAGTTCCCAAAGGAGGGGGCGTGTGACCAGTCCAGATGGCGTGAAGCGCGAGCGCTGCTGACTGGACATGGGATCCGTTGTCGTCTTTTTCTCGCCCTCTTTGCTCGAGGGGTGTGCGAGGAGCAAGGTAGTACCAGCCAGAGAGGGGTCTGTTGGCTTCAACCAGGGGGCCCATGGCCTGAGGTCAAGCCCACCACCCCAGTCAGTCGCGGTCGGCCTGTCGGTCTTTTAGAAGACACTTCTGACCTGCTATCCCTCTCGCTATCTCTGCCTGCTGGTCTGGCAAGGCAAGGCTAGATAGCTTGGAGCGGACGGACGACATAATGGAGCTTTGGCGTGGGACGAAGGCATAGCCAAACGAGAAAAGACACAGCGTCAATTACGCGCAGAGCGGAAAGAAGAGCTCAAAAGTGGTGCCCGCAGCACAGAAGACACAAACGGGATGGCATCTCCAGCTCAATGACCCCGGAATTCCAAGTGCCTGTACAAGTGAGGTACCGATACATGCGTGAGTAACTCACCACCCGACCGCAACTGCGACTGAACGGGGACGTGGACGTGGATGTGTGGACTGGACTGGAGTCCTGGACCAACCCGTGGACCAACGCACCCAATGTCGACCGACACTTCGTTTCTAACGCTACAGGTCAAAGATACCAGAACCCTTCTTAATGCCGATGGACGGAGAGCGGGGGTTGCTGGATGAACAGTGAAGATGCTTCGTCCCGGGTTGCTTGCGCATCTCCCGTCTTTCTCTTGGACGCACGGAGTAGGTTTTGATAGTATGCCAGCTGTTGTGTGGAAAGATTGAACGGCGACTTGAAATTCCAAGCAGCCAATCCGATGTCTTCGGCCCTGCTTGGCATGAGTCTTGTCTCGACTTGCAGTTCACTGGCTGTCTTATTGCGCGACACTTGAGGCTGGCTGTCGTTGAGCTGGACGGCACCACCTCACGCCTCAAGCCATGCAATGGCCACATTCAAGGAACATTTCGAATCGTTCTGTCCACCGCACAGTCGAGGCCAAGTGCCATCAACGGCCCCGCTGTACGAGTTGTCCATATTGCCGGAAGTTTTGAGAGGCCTTCGTCACCTAAACAACCACAACGACGGCTTTGATATCTCAGTATTTGGACAGACCCAAAACACTCGTGGTCGCTGTTGAGGGGCGCTGAAAAGGTCACAGCGGCAAAACAGCAGACTGCTCAGCGCAGCGGTAGCAGCGGTTGACACGGCGAGGCGATGTAGGACATTAAAAAAGGTACATGGCCTCTGCCCGTGGCCCTATTAACACTGTCCCTCCGGCCGTGCTCCTGATCCGTTATTTGATCCGCCTTGGGCCTCGGACTTGACAATGCGAGTATCCCATTCCCCGGGTATGTTGTTATTGTCATCTTTGTTGTTCGGTTTCAAGCCCGCCGAGACGCAAGTGTTGTATGCCAGTGGCACGAGATGTCTTCGGATCTGCTATCCCAAATGCTGAGTGTTCCGTCGCAAGTTTGGGGTTCTGACCCCTCTATGTCATCCGGTCGGCGGAAGTATGGTTCACGCGTCCATGTCGGGAAAAATCCTAAGACCACGTCTGCAGGAG